GTCTAGTGCTATGCTCGTGTACATGCGACGATGCTATGTTAAAATGTTCAATTTTCCATATTTGATTCTTTCACTCCATTTCAAATCTAACGGGTCAATACTGTGACGTTTATTAAAGAAATACTTATTCTACCAAGTTATTTTACGATAAAAGGATAAGTAAGTTTGAGGAGTTTAAAAACTGTAAAAATTTACTTGAGTGGCGGCTTATTATTGTTTGAAATAACAGACACCTAGGGGTTTGTTTTGATGTTATACCCACTATAACAGCTTTGTTTGGTGACTAATTCTGTCTACTACATTGCACACATTGATTACTATTAAATTAATTACCGATGGTTATTTATCATCAATAAGTTATAGTTTTATAATATATTCATTGTTTTTTTTTTATAGTGGAAATTTTTTTTTTTTTTTCAATTGTTTAGTGTTTTCTTCTCTACAATATTCTGTTTTGTTCAATACAAATATTGTTCAATACAAATATTGTTCAAAATTATACAGACCTCTCTTTTAATGTTACTTGACAGTATTAGAGCCCAATCACACAATAGTTACAGTACGTCGGCTCAGGGCCACTTTTTTCAAATGTGAACAATCAAAGTCAGCTCAGGTCCTGCAATGCCGGACCTGGGCTGACTGTACACCGAACCTGGGTCACCAAGGTCACTTTGACATCGTGTAGAAAAGAAGATACCAGGCTTATAGCAAGACTGGAGTTAAGGTTAGGGTCAAGCTAGATCCACCACGATCCCCAACTACGATTTACATAAGTTTGTCGGAACAAAATATCCGCGGCCTAAACAAAGGGATCTTGGAAAATACAGTACTACCTCATTTTATAAAAGCAATAAAAGCCAGGTCTACTATAGTATAGTCTTATTAAATTTCAAGGCTTTCTATTATGACAGCTAGGTAGGCCTAGGGTCGACAAGGCTAGGCTAGGCCTACCTAGGCTAGTCTATGATCATTTTGGCCGTTGCTCCTTTTGGCCCCCCAGTTTGTTAAGCTTATTAACATTATTATGTATGGTGCGCCATTAGGGTCATCACATGAAAGCTATCGTTAATAATAGCCTGACTTGCGTTAGGTCTAACTGATATATTACTTAATCAATTTCATTACAAACGCTAATTTGTTGGTATAAGACATGCAGACATACTAATAAAGTGGTTAAAAATCTGTTAGTATTATATTACGGTAATTTTTGCATTCTAATTTATATAGTTATATCAAGTTCATGTTGTGGTAATGTACAATATGATTTATTTTATCAATAAATTTATTATCAATAAATTGACACACAATATAATGTTTCATTTTTTATAATATTATTTAATCTGTCACATATTGTCTCGCTTAGGCCATGGGAATGATCCGAAAAATATTGAAAACTTACATACAAGGCATAACAACATATAATGAATTTTTCAAAATAATTTTTGTGCAGTAGCTTTTTAGGCATGCGGGCAGGGATGCAAATCTACAACTGTCATTCCCTAGGCCTTAATTTTTTTGAACTTTTATTATCAATATTTTCGTCAACTCTTATTATTGTAGGTTACTACTAGCTAGACCTAGGCCTACTAGAAACTAACTAGGGCCTACGTCTCCTTCTGTTGAAAGACATAAAATACAGTACAATAATTAATGTAATAAATATAATTAATAAACAAACACCAACTCAGATTTATGTAGGTTTACCTGAACAATATCCACGGCCTAAACAAAAAAAGGGATCTTGGGTAGCCTAGTATGTTTTTAGGGCCTAGGCCTAGGCCGATTGAATTTCAAGGCTTTCACTACAGCTTGGCAGGCCTAGTAGGGTCGACTAGGCCTACGCGGACTAGGCTAAGCCTACCTAGGACCATTCTTAGGCTAAGCCTACCTATACTACCTTTTACAAACAAACACCCCTAATATCGGGCACGCAGGCAGGAAGACAATAATGGATTGATGTAGGCCTATCCTAGGCAGGCTAGGCCTAGTTAGTAGAGATAGGGCCTACATAAGAATAAGATTAACATTGACAAATTATCTGCTAATTACAAATCATAATTGATCAAATTTACATCAAAGTGTACATTTTACCAGAATAACATACCTTTAAAGAAGACTGATAGTAGAAAAATAATCAAATAAGTGCTAAAAAAAATAGCTACTCAGCACCACAATCAGCACACAGACAGATCGCAAGCCCACTTGGCACACTGTGTACATAGGTCAAAGAGTAAAGGTCATTTGATTTGCATAACACTGCATTATGTACTTGTTATCGTTATGAACTTATTTGCTTCATATATGAAAAAGACTTTCATGAGACTAGGAGTTTAGGAGTTATTCAAATGTATTCCAGTAGTTGAACTATCTGCAAATAAAAAAGGGAAATAAGCTATATATTAAAGTTGTACAGATTAAAATAATGAAAAATTCAATCATAATATATAAATTTCTCAATTTGATTATTTAAGCAAATTTATTAAGTTACAATCAAAAATTTGAATAAGAAAATTAATGTCATTAAAACAAAAAGTCGAATAATACCTTTAGTTTATTCGTTTGCATTAGACCCTTAAGAATGTTTGTATTAAATTGTTCTATTTGTGTTAACTTATTTTATCAAATTTTGATTTATTTTTTTCAGGTTTCCAGCACTTCAGTTGTTAGGTTTCAAATGAAAATTAGAACAAGAAAAAGTGTCCTCGCACATATCATTGTGAAAGTTGATAAAAAATTGTAAAAACATATGGGACTTTTGTTATGAGTATATATCAGTCTTGAATTTTAAGTGGGAGTTACAGATCATAACTAACGTAACATATTACATAAAGTCTCAGGGCCACGCTTCCCAAAAACTATGGGTTGACTCAAAAGTTATAGTAATCAGGCAGAATTTCCATAACAACTACGGAAACTCCAGTACTTGAGAAGTCGGATAAAGATGGAAATACACTTTTGACTATAGGTTATTGCCTACCCCTTTCTTCCCCTTGCGCCTTGCCTCAGTTCATTTGGATGGGGGTTTTTTTCTATTTATCCTCCTCTGTGTGGCTCGAAAAAAATGCCGAATGAGGGTGGTCCGAACATAGGAGTCGCCTGAGCCTCGGTTAGGGTCCCAGAATAAAAATGATGGTGTGTTTCATGTGGAGACTCGGAGAGGTTGGTTAGGAACGACCAATGGATTTAACAACTGACATACGCTCTTGTGTGTGCGACCTTCCAAGGGGGCGGGGCTACTTAGCAGAAACTAAGTTTTGACCAGTGCGTTCTTAATTAGTTAAATTTTGGGATAGGACAATCACAATAATTTCATTTGCATGAGAATAATATTTTTAATCCCGGATCCCGGATGTGGCGTCGAACAGGGAAATCCTTGATGCCCAACGGAAGGAAATAGTATAAGCTAGCCTATGGCAAGCAGGATAACATTCAATCGAGATCGTAACGCTGTTTCACATGGTCTTGCAATAATACAATAACAAAGAAAGCACGGGATGCTAATTGCTTTAATGTGAATTGCTTTTCCTAATGCAAATGTCTTTGTTGTCCTTTTCCAAATGTACGTTTTGACGTTTTATTTTTTGTCGTGATACTGATTGTTTTTTTTTTTTTCCTGTGTCAATCCATTTTCTCTGTGTTTAGGTTTTCTCGCTAGTTGCATTTTAATAATTTCGTATATTTGTAGATTTTGTAAATCTGCTCGCAATTCAGTTATGTTTTACTGCTTTGATAATAAACCCAAAATGAATGAAACATGTCTCATCAACACGCACATTTGTGTACGTTCACGCTGCAGTTTTGCTGGATCTTTGCAACAATATCCAAGTGGTGAACCTTATTTAGAAGTATGTTACATGATACACGCACTACTAAGTACGCGGAGCCACGTCAGGCCCACCCGCCGCCGGCGGTACCCAAGCCTAGTTATGCATATTAGTCTTTCTTGCATTTCAGTCAGCAAATTACACCATGCAGCCATTTATGTCGTACATTGAAATTTCAAAAAGTAGCTCCTTACTAAAAAAAAAACCATCACAAGACAAATACATGATATAAAAGTGAGCTTATTTTTAATGCTTCAAGGAAATATACAAAGAATGACTAAATGACTGGTTTAAAAACAGAAATAATGTAATCAAAATAACATTAATTTATATCTGACACTTTAGGAGCACTTGTGACTGTAAAGCCCTGTGCAGACTATCAAATTTTATTTGACAAAAACATGTGATATGCCTAAATATGGTCATGATGACATCACATCATGACCATATATAGGCACATCATGACTATATACGGGCAGACAACAGTTGTTTGTCAAAAAAAAAATTGATAATCTAGACAGAGCTAGTGTTTTCTATGATTTATTATCAACTGGAGTCAAATGTGTTTCCATTAAACATTCAAAAAGAAAAGTGTTTTACAACACAAGATATTCATAAGAATAAAAAAACGAAACTAAATGTTGAAATTCAACAGTTTTGTACTATATGCAATTATGATTCATAATATTCATAATAAGCAAATGCAAATCCAGGAGAAAAGAAATGTCCAAAGCTATTTCAGGTGACGATCTACATAACAATTTTTAAGAATTATCAATAAAAGTGAATATTTACATTATTATGAAATAGAAGGCATACTTACATAGTCCTTTTTAAGGCCCTATGCTACAATCAATTTATTTAGCAACATTCTTAATTCTTTTGCCCAAAATTATCTTCATTGGTCTACAAGTAGCAAGATTAATATTTTTCCCCAATCTTAAGTTCTGCCAAAATTATAAATGATTATCAATTTGTTTGCCCATATAAAGTCATGATATGCCTATAAAATTATGGTTATGAGGTGATGTCATCATGACCATATTTAGGTATGTCACAATAAAATTTGACAGTGTGGACAGCACTTCATGGATAACAATCATTCCTTAACAACACTTATTTTTACCTAGTTTACATAAGGTGCCATTCACACCACCATTCTGTTTTACAACAATTACTTTCAGAAAACAGAAATTGTCCGTCTTTAAAAACCATTTCTGATTCACAATATTTTATAACCTCAAGCTTCATATTATTTCACAGTTTCTGCCTTTGCAAATGTTCTTAATATTAAATAAATCCTTGCAAAATCACTTATTCACATTAATTTAAACATTTAAATCTATTTCGCATTACCAAGAGTAAATACACTTTCATATTGCTGTGTTCACACTGCTGAGTCCACATTGCTTCGATCACACTGCTGCGTCCACACAATTTTAACACATCTTTACAACAATATTGTAGATACAGTAGTACTATATGTGTTATCAAAATGTAAAAATAAGGTAACATTCTCTATTTTGTTCCAGGTGACAGTCGTGGACCTATTTGTAAAGATCTTCTCGGTCACTGCTAGTCATGTCACTGTCCTCCAATGTGCTGAAGTTGAGGAAGTGGGAAGGTCGATGAACCTCATGGTAGAACTCTTTTGGATTGGCCAGCTGCAGGTCGTACCTCATACCAGCATCATGACGAACACCTGGAAGATGGAAAGAAAATAAGAAAGTGAAGAGAATTTGCTTAATAACATTCTTTAAATACAAATTAATTCAGAACAATTGTATATCACCAAGTCAAAATAATACAATTTATCGGTGTAAATAACAAGATAGAAATACATGGATGGACGTATCTATTATATATTCAAATCAAAAATGTTTATTGCTATAAACATCATTGGGGGTTAATAATTTTAGTATAAAAAATGTACGATAAAAAACAAACCTACAAAATTGGAGAATGTGACCTAAGTTCTGCCAAAGGATGTTTTTTAAATGCATCCTTCCATTATCCAAAATTCTGCACCATTTAATGGGAAGTATTTGTTAGATTTAGGGGACAATACAGTCAGTCTTAAAAGGAAATTTCTGGTATTGTATTTTTTTAAATAATGATGGGGTGGGGTTGGGGAACTATCATGTATTGGCTAAAGGGAAGTAATAGCAATTGATATTACTGGAAGGTTATGTGAAGGTCACGGCCAGAAGTAGTATCCTGTGGAGATGGAGGATAATGGATGGTTAATTGAAAACACATTTTACACTAGATACAGTAAGTAATTGATTCTTCTTACCCATAAAATTGTAGTTCCAAGAACCTGTAGCTGGTACCATGAAGAAACCGAGGAAGCGATCCGACAGAAGCATCTGTACTTTCTCGTAATGTGAAGGCAGGTAGCCCTTGGGGTTGTTACCTTTGTCAGTGTTTTGACGTCCCCATTCAAACCCACTTGGAGTCAGTTTGTAGGCAGTGAGGGAACAGGAGCCTGGAGTGAAACTGTAAACAAGAAGTAGTAAATCTTTTTAGGAAACACAGATACATAAATACAATGGGACTTCAGCAACAATATCCATGGAGCAGGGCTATGCGGTAAATTCTATTGTTCAGCGGCCAATGGTACTTGATGCTTAGGACATAGGAGGGGAAAACAATAATAGTCAGCTGTGCATTCAGGCGTGAAATACAGGAGACAAATATAGTCTACTACAGTATCCTACATGGCATGCAGCTTCTTAATTCAGGTCCACAGGTCATTTGTTTAGCTGAATAGCTACAAAAATGTGGAAAATTATTTTTAAAGGGTACAGAAATAATCCAAAATCTAATCTAACTTGAATCTAATAACTTGAATTAATGACCACATCTCAAACAAAGGGTACAGAAATAATCCAAAATCCAATCTATTTTTAATCTAATAAATGACCGCATTTTAAACAAGTTTATGGAGACTTTTTTGAAAATGGAAATGTTAATAATAAAGATATTTTAGAAGATATATTCTAACAAAGAAATAGGCCAGGATAATATTACTAAAGGGGCCTGAAAATTATATGTTTAGGCCTAGGCATTGACCAACAATTGACAGAATAGCCTAGACAAATTCAATTTAGTGTAATATGTGTAAAATACTCAAAAAAGTAAAGCACCGTCCAAACTATGGAATAACATGTGACAAATTAATGTTACGTACCCATATATGGGCATATTACAGTTTTTTTGTCACATAAAATTTGACAGTGTGAAAAAAGCTTAAGTGTTAATCTGCTTTCTTTCCTCCATGCATATTCTAATACCAGTTCTCTTCATGAACAATAACATTATTACAGTATTACTAACATTCCATCATGAATCCTACCTGCAAGTGATGACAATTGTCTTCTCTCCATCCCATGAGGGATTGTCGGCCATTATCTTGGCTTGTGTGGTGACATCCTGCGGGGACAGCTGAGGCATTTCATTCGGCTGCGTGTGAATCCAACCCAAAGGTTCCATTTCCTGCAAAATGAAATTGAATAAGTGAATAATTGGAACAATCATTTTAATTCATTTCTGTCTCAGAACACTAAACAACTACAGGATAGGATAATGCAATGCTCGAAAAACATGACGTCTGAAGTAATGGTTTGTTATGACAGGAAAGAATCTCTATAAGGCCACATTTCAATACACAAGCTACCCACCCAATTCCATATGAAAAAAATCCCAAATATTTGCATTAGTACAAACAAATGTGCCAATAAAATAAATAAATAATGGCTACTGTGGAAATAATGAGTAGTGATATAAATACTATATGGTTGTTGATTTAAATGGAAAGTATTCAATGTTCTACAAGTAAACAAAAAATTATTATATGAGGCATGTTGTGGCAAAATGGCTACGTTGTTCCATAGGCCAGTATTGAATAAATCAGCTATAAAAAAAAAGGCATCTCAAAAAATGGCCTAAATTTTTTTTCCCCACTATAAAATCAACAGTTTAATACCAGATAAATGATTTCTGGAGTCTTATTTCTGGAAATGGTCAAATAAATCATTTATTTAACACTATTTCGGTAGTTAATTCCATTAAATAATGTATGCAAAGATAACTCTGGAAGGAAATTACTAAAAATCATGTTTCTCTCGACTCAAAGAGAGCTGTACTTTCACTTCCCAATGACTAGGACTTGAAGTATTCAATGTCAATGAATGACCCTTCATTTAAAGATTACCAATCAATGAAAATACCAATTACTTTAATTTCAATTTTTTTGCCACAATTGCCTCATATAATGTGATTGAATACCATACACAGGGAATATTTACTATAATAAAGATAACATATTTTATGCCCAAATTACTCACACCAAAAATTGATGGCATAAATATTGCAAATTTCAGATTTGCAATCCTAGCAAATGCACAACTGCAAACTTACCATTAGATACTCGTGAGATGGCAGCTGGTTTGGTAAATGCACTGTCTGGTGGGTTCCCCACTGTGGCACCATCACGATGCAGCGGATCTCCTTCACCTGTGGGTTGTCAGGTGGGCTTACGCCATACAGGTAACCAGAAATCTAGGAGAAAAAATTTAAAATTATATTAATATTATTGAACATTTACCTACAAAATAACAATAATTTATAGGACAGTAATAATAACACTGTAGTGCTCCTCTTATATAACTCAAAAAATCAAAACAAGTTCATTTTTATATTGTGAAAAAAAAAATTAAATCTATTGGGTAGCAATGCCTTGAAGTTATATTGTTAATAATGTAATGCAAGAAGTAATATCAATTCTACTACTAATAACAGCAATAATGTAATATACATTTTATGGAATTGCATGTGAAATAACTATATGCTCTAAATATATTATAATTTTGTCCAATCAAATTGATAATTAAAATAATAAGTTAGCAATATCCCGGAAGAATAAACTATCCCTCATGACAGGTAAATATGTAATCATTTACTAATGCTCTCAGTCCATAGTTCTGATGATAGTTACGTGTAAGACATGGCTATCATTTCAGAAACAAAATGAATATTATATACCTGTGCACGTAAATCTGAAATGACGATAAATTTCTTGAGCACGTTCTTTGGCAAGATGTATGTGTATCCAGTCTCTTTGATGTCGTCAGAAGACACGTAAATGTGGTTGGTTCTCAAGTGCAAGTTGGTAGCAGAAATAGCACGCACACGCCACTCAGTTTTAGAGGAGAAGGTTGCGGTCTCATAATTACTTGTTGTTGATGTAATTATCTCATCACCTAATGAATACATTTAGTGTAACTCTTAACATTAATCAAAAACAAATTAAATTTGTTTATTAAAATTTATGTTCAACAACTATTCTCCCTATTCGTTCTTTATTTTTTCATTCACAATCAACAGCTATCATCTCTTCAATTGCAGGATGGGCTTTATGAAGTCCTATAAACAAAGTCTTTCATTTATCCAGCAAGAAGTGTGTTCAGTTTTGTGAGAAAAAAAAATATGAATTTTCCAGGATTTGAACCCAGGATTCTGATAATAAAAGTTGGGCACCTTAACCTCCGAACCACTACTAGCGTTTTGCTCACCGTGTTTGTTTACTGTCTTTGTGGTAGTAGCAGTCAATTGGGACTGCTCCTTGGTCTGCTTCTCAATCTCTGCAATCTGTTGACGTTGCTGGGAGGGAGCGGAGATCTCCATGCCAAGGATGATATCACGGATCTCAGATTGTGTCAGGGAGGCAACATTCACACTGGAAGGACACAGAAAAGCTCATGAACAAGAAACAAAAACATATAAGCATCAATTTTTCCTATATTTGACCGATTTAGATTTTTAAAAAGCAACTCTTTGCTATTCTGAAAGTATCCTCAGTTTAACAAATATAATTTTTTAATTCATAGTTTCTGGTACACTTGATTTCTTTACAGCTACCTTCCATTATTTTACTTAATTCAATTACTCAAGTGAACAAACTTACTTATTTTTCTTTCCATAGTCTGCAAGAATGAGGTCTTTCAGCTGGACTTCTACTTTGATCCATTCCTCATCACTTAACGTTGGCCAGATGTGATGTGGTTCAGTGATTGTGGTCTTGTCTGGCTTCAGGATGACCTTGGTTCGATCATTGTTGACGTGAAGTGCACGCAATATCAAAATAAGACGTGAAAATGCCTATAACAAAAAACAATATATAAATAGTTTTTAGTAAGTGATTTTACATAAAACAGATAAATGTATGCAATCATAAAAGAAAATGGATTTTTACTGGAAATGTCCCAGCTTGATACCAGGGTTAAGATGATAGCACAGAACAGAAACAGCACAATACAGCCACATTTGCAGATACCTAAAAATGCATGACAGGTTTCAATCATGAGTGCAGAGCTCTCTCTATACTATACACATTTTCTGTGACAAAACAAGTACACATACATTGGCAGGACAAAGTTATTTCACATCTATAAATGGAAATGACGACATTTAGTTATGTAAAATAAAGTGTCCTGAAAACTGCATTAAATAAAGTAGAGCTAAGAAAAAAGTGTACAGCTGCAAAAATTGAACAGACATATTCAGATTTATGTTTTAAGACTTTTCCAACTGATGTAAACTGCCTTAGTTGATAATGGGTGTTTCCTGTTAGTACAATCCATACTCAAAATGTACAAAGAGAACATAATGATATTCCCTATGAAATATCATAAATGGCGCCATGCCTCATCCTGAGAAAATAGCAGTAGTGGAGAATATGGGACAGAATACTTAATGAAGAGCGTGAGAATAATGGGATTCCATATTCCTATACTCTTCACTACATACACAAAATACAAGAATGCATATCCTTCCAGTTCAAGTGTTCTATCTATCACAATGTTAAAGAACTTACTGTATAAGATGAAATGGTTTTCAACCAATCATCATAGAGGTTGAATAGGACCATCTGCGGTTCTGTAGCTTTCAGGATGAGGTCACCAAACTTCTCTACTTTGAGGCAGGCCTGGAATGGAAGCTGCAGTTCACTGCCTTTGATCACAATGTTTGGGAAATCCAACAGATGCACCTGAAAATTATTAATTAAGAAATTATTAATTAATATTTAAATTTCTAACAGCAGGTTTTAGAATTTTTGCAGTAACTTCTACATCACAACAGCATAGAATTTAAAAAAAATAAATATTACATAAATTTTAAGAACAATGTTAGTAATAATAAATTGATGTTGGGAGGTTATTTTGCTCACCTCAAGTGGATCCAACATGCCTTTTCTAGTAACAATAATTTGTTTCGGCTGTTCTTCAACGGGCAGCGATCGAATTAAGGCAGCGACCTCTTCAGCTGTCTTCCATTTGGCCAGCTGAGTAATGAAAACACATCAAATGATAAAATTACTGCAAGATGGATTGCAGAATTAAAGGCATATTACAGATGAAATAAAGAGGCTGTATTAGATATAGACTTAAACTCTGAATACATGGAAACATATTTACAGTAACCTTATTTGGGATGGAACTGTTCCAGCTTGATACCAGGACTAAGATGATGTGTTACCATCAGAGTCCAACGATGCTAGGCACTGGAATTAATATTGCATTTTATTACGAACAGAAACAGCACAATACAGCCAGATCTGCAGATACCTAAAAATGCACAATTACCATATCTCACAACACTGTTAACTGAATTAAAAATATTGATTCATGTGCGGCTCTAATCGATTCGCTAACTAACCTGTCCAAGACGTTTCTGGCCAGCCCACACCGATGTATGAATGATCTTGAGGAAAAGCTGTCCTGTCCTGGGATTGAAGATGAAAATAGCTCCATTGATAGGCTTCGTGGTCAAGTTACCCTCAAAAGTCTAAAAAGAATATACAAATAATTTTATTTACATTAGACTTTAAAAAGTATCCAAATTATAGTTATTTAAAGAGTACTTAAGTGCTAATTCCAATAGATTTACTTCTCAAATACTGAAAGTCTGACCTAAAAATCCTTCAATGGCCACTCCAAATATATGACAATTTTCAAAGAATACAAAGGTGCATTTGAATGTGTGGCCTTCCAATTTCAAAATTAGCCTGTGCGCAAAATGTCCTTATTTATCTAAATAAACTATGTAATTAAATTTTAAAATATGTAAAATTCCGCTGTGATGCAAGGCCAATTTAGTATCATGGCACTCTTGCATAACCATTAAGGAGGTAAATAAGACATATGCTTATTTTCATCATGTATAGTCTTGTTCAAGTATTCTAAAAATAACTCTGTGGCCAAATCCAATTGTAAAAGATATATTGTGGCTTATGTTTTTTTAGCAATTGGTCATATCATTCCAATGTTGATTATACTAGACTACCAATGAAACAAAGTTGTTTTTTTTTTAAATCTATACAATTAAGCTTTTCAATCAATCTTTTGATCAACCATTTAATCAAACAATCCATCCATCAATCATCATACCTTGTGAATGGTCACCCTGTACACATTTGTATCATCCACAAACCAGATGATTTGATTGGAGAACAGCTCGCCATAATTCTGCGATGAAAGGTAAGGTTCTGTAGGCTCTGACGAGTACAGCTGGAGGCCTTTGCGGATACGTTCCCGCAAGACATACAAGGCTGGGTTAGCCTTCATTATTTTACCCATGGCTTGCTGAATCAGAGGCTTGCAACCTGGGTACCAGTTGCCAAAAGCACTGAAATCAAAAGAAGTCCCATATTGAACTTAATATCATATATACAGACAATTTCTTTTTATTGTTATTCTTTACATATTATTTTAGAGGGTCAGATACTATCTAGCCTTGAGAGGCTAAATCATGGTTTATCACATTCTAAAGGTATACATCATTCCCTCAAAACTGGTTATTAAATTTATTTAAAGATCTTATAATAAGAAGATAGCACACTATTCGATTTATGTGTGCAGATCCTGTAACAAAGCCATGCACTATTTTCTAGGGCACCCTTTTGAAAAAAAAACAAGTACTTTCTTGTGTTTTTATGTGGAGCAGAATAACCAGTAACAAAGTATATATAGAGAGCAGTTTCACATGATTCTAATATACCACTTTCTGTGTTCCATTTTGTACAAGTATTAGCACACCAAACATTCATGATTTTGTGAGGGAGCACTATAACTTAATGTTTATATTTTATTACGCATAAATGTGGGTATTGCCCTATCTTTTTATAGAATCTTTAAGTTATCCAGTAAAGTTATGTATTCGAGTTTGAAATGAACAATAACAAACAAGTATTTTACTTATATACCATCAAGATCTGGAGAAAAAAGATCACCTATGATCACACATATACAATTTACTAACCTGTGCAAGTTATATGCTAGATCGATTGCAATTAAAACACCTGTGGGTGATGGGTAAATACTCATGTTGTCTGTAGTGTAGTCAAGGAATTTGGCTCTTGCGTAACGTTCGACATCGTGAGAGTCATAGTCTCCCCATCTCAGCTGGATGTCCAACCAGAATTTCTGTGTTGTTGTACTATCCATTGTATCCCTTAATAATAAAAAGAACAACCCATCTTCATTATTTAGAAAAATTATTCAATAGATTGATTGATTTAATTAATGTCATGGACTGTGGACAGATCAACAGCAATATTCAACATTCTTTTATACTATTTAATGATTTAATCCCTATATGTTGAGTTTTGTTAGTAACTTACTTAGAATCTGCCAGCAGGGACGGTCGTGAAACATTCCACTTGTATGAGGCAAACAAGAGAATGTCTGCGCATGAACTGTTCATCTTGTAAGACTTCCTAGGATGGATGGTTTCCTTCTGAACTGTCTCAATCTCAAGGGCATCCAATTCTTGATCAAACACCTTTTTCGTGAGGGAAGAATTATTGTGTTGCAGTAAAAATACATGAAAACTATTTTGTACAAGTGGGAAAGCCATAGTAGGTTACAAAAATGAAAGCTCTGTCTATTCAAGTTCTATTAAATTTGTCTGATTTGTCCATTTATAAGCATCATGATGTTCCATTACAACCAGGTATGGGCAAATCACAGTAATACATCACATAAATCTAGAGTTCAGACATACATGATTTCTAGGGAAAAATTTTGAAATCTTATTTAAATTTGACTTGAAAAACAAAATGTCTTTGTGGCACTAATATCTACATTACATTTTTCACCTTTTTAAACATTATTTTATTTTTTAATAATTTGATCATTTTTTACTTGTTTTAACAGAAATGATTATGTTTATTTAATTATAAAATATGCAGTGTTGTAAACCAACAAATATTTTGGAACCAAAATAAGTATTCTTTTATCTTTTGGTATGTTTTAGGGTCAGATACTATCTAGCCTCTGGAGGCTAAATAACAGTTGATCAGACATCACAGTATGCATCACTCTCTCAATAAGTTAGAATTAGTTTATTCCTCAAGCAAAATAATTTTAACTTCATAAGCTTTAGGAAATAAAAATATGCAAGAAGTAACCATTCTATTGAACAGTGAAAAAAAATTGGAAAAAAAAAACATGTTATAAATATTGAAACTAGATGCATTAATGCAGAGAATATAAAATAGACGAACCTGACACAGATCCATGACAACACTTTCATGGACCTTCTGCCATAAATGAGCCCTGAAGATCTGAATAAGGGAGATCTTGAGTGTTGGAATCTTGCCATGCATAAAAATACCAGTCAAGTCCAACTGCACCTGGAAACCTACATATACCTGAAAAAAAAAAAAAATTGTTTTTTTACTAATGAAGTTGAAGGTACATAAAACAATAAAGTTAAGTTCAAAAGAGAGATTTTACAGCTATGGGGTAGCAATTCTAGCATTAAGGTCAAAAGTGCAAACTTCAAATGCCTGATCATTTCTATAAATCACATAATCACTTACATTAGCTCTGTTGATGGTGGGTGACCACCAGAGAGTGAATCGTCTGTTTGGAATCTGGTTCAAACCGGATCGCTGGGCATTGGTCAGTTTCTTGTATTTCATTGACTCCTCAAATCCACTAGCCTTTTCCCTGTTGAAATTTTAAAATACTCTAACTTAATTGTTAAAAGAAAATAAATAACAAAGCATTGTAAAGAAATTAAAACGCCTTATTAGTTAATAAGATTACTGTATTTCAAAAACTGTCCCAGCTTGATACCAGGACTAAGATGATGTGTTATCATCAGAGTCCAACGATGCTAGGCACTGGAATTAATATTGCATTTTATTACGAACAAAAACAGCACAATACAGCCAGATCTGCAGATACCTAAAAATGCGTTTCAAAAACTGTAGCATTGTAAATATGGTGCTCGCCTTTCAATACCAGAATCATAAGTTAAAACCCATTAAATTGGGGCTATATATCAATTTCTGTTGGAAGTGGGATATTGCTCTAGATCTTTGGATTGATTACATCTAGCAGACAGAAATTGTGTTGCGTAACTTAATAGGAACATGCGACATGGAATTAAGAAAACATCAATAGACTAGTCCTACAATATTATGCGGTTATTTACCAGAAGAGACCTTCCCACGTGGGAAAATACGTGCCCTTGAAGAGGGTGTGTTCCAGGATCCCTTCAACACCACCTAAAGCTTGGATCATGTCTGTTCGGTAATTGTTTAAGTTCCACAGCTTGCCATCATGCCTCTGATGGGTCCACCAGAATGGATTCTGCTTCAGGACCTGCAAAAGAAAAAAAAAGAAAAGAAATGAAACAACTATTTTTACTAGAAAATTGTAATTTCATCGAATTTATATATAACAGCAGTTACTTTAGATAAATACTCTAAAATAATAAAATCAAATAGCAAATGATTTTATAATAAATTATGAGTATAAATTAATAAAATAAAAGAGAATTATGTTATATTACCTTTATTTTAATATGTAACATTTTTATATTCATTTTATCAGATGATTATTATATTCATCATTATCAATATCTATTATTTAGTAGACCTAATTCTAACAATAATTTATATTTTCTAAGAAAAAATATACAGACTGCATAACATCTTGTGGTCAATGGTAACAGTGGCCGTGGTAGACCCTGCAAAACCTGGGCTCACATGATTAGAGATGACCTGACGATGATGATAACAGTATAATATCAAGTGCAGAGTCCCACGATATAAAAGGGTCTTGGTTAGGGGTATGGAAATGGAAGTTCCTCTGTAAAAACATAGCTGCTTCGAGGGTCAGATACTATCTAGCCTAAAAAGGCTGCATCATGCTTGTATCATTTCAAAAAGGTATACATCATTCCCTCATTTACATATTACACTTTACAGAACACTAAACTATAGCTGGTATTATTTTACCTGGTACTGCTTGAAGTCTGTCCTAACTCTCCAGCCCTTGTCGTAAGCTAGGGTGTGTCTGTCCTTCTGGAAGAGTGTGTTAATACGGGGAATTCCTCTGTCCCATGAATCTTCAAGATCTTCCAACGTCAATCGCCTTTAGAAAAACAGAATTATATTAAAGTAAAAATAGGAATCAGTTTGTCCGGTTATGATTGTGGCTCTGTTTGCGGTGCGGGGCGTTTTAATCAATACAACTGTTTTAAACATGAGTGATTAAATTGGAGTGATTGTGGTTATGTCTCCATAAAGCGATTCATCCGTTTTGATTTCAGCCTGCCGTGCAGTGTGGTGAATTCATGCAAAAGGGCCTTTAAAAATGCATGTGATGGAATCACTTTACACGCAAACGCAACCCAGACAAATGGATTCTTACAGAGCTTAATCCTTGATTGGCTACTTGAGTTAGTCATTTGTGAATCTACAGGGACGATAAATTGGCCAAAAAGAACAAGAGCTGCGAGGATCGTGCATGCGCAGATAGTTTTTTCGTGTCAGATTAACATCCTTGAGTCCATCCATCTTTGATGCGAAAGCTCACTAATATGTCATCAACAAAGATAAACTTTAAAATATAATAGGATTGTTATGGCATTAACAATTCAATTATGTAAAACTTATACCAACAATGCATAATATACATAAAATACATTTTAAATAAACATATCACTCACCTGCTCTGTGCTGTAGCCTCCTGTCTCTTGAGAGCGTACTCAGCCCATACACGCTGTGAATCGATAAACTCGCTTTCCCAGGGTTGAATGTAGCGATACAAGTTTGGAATCAGCTGATCCTCATCATGACTCATACCGGATCGGAAATGAGTGATGCCAACATCGGTCTGCTGTGACCACCTACAAAGCAGTTTTTTTAAATGGGTCAATATATTCAATTAAAGTTTGTGCCTTTCCATACATTATAAAAGTATAAATTGGTAACTGCTTTGTTGGGGACTGGAATGTTTTCGTCTGATGTGCAGCATATAACACTTAAGACTAGGAATATTGCTGAAGGAGCAAAGAATGAAGGATGCTGTGCATGTTTGCTGGAATAGAGCCTATAAATATTTGAATTATCATTACTGAGGTAAATTGGTATCTTATTTTTAATAACGCATGATCAATAATAATGACAACATGTCGTATATACTATACCACCCCATGCAAAAGAGACCTCTATAAAAACAAAAGGACAATTTTTAAGCTAACCTTAGATCTGACTGTGGGATAAGAACGTGACCCATTGATAACATGCCTAGTCCACCAAGCTCCTTAGGTGTGTAAAATACAACTGGCGGGAAACGACTAGGCATCTTTGAGTTAAGACCAATCTTGATACGCGTCTGGATCTTGTTCTCGCACTTTACAAGCAGATCCAACAGCTCCTGGGTGTTGACAACGGCCTCACGGTAATAAGTCATAAGGCCAATGAGGGCAGTGTTCCATTTATTGACAATCTGTAAGTAAAAAAAAACAATTATATTTTTGCAAATGACACACTTACAAATAGATGCTATGGACAGAGCGATATACAGTATACTAGATGATAACTGGCAATTTATAAACCTTGGCAATATTTTTTAAATTACCTTTGTAAAAGTGGTAGATCCAGAGGCCATAAGAATCTGTCGGACTCTGTTGTGAAACTTCTGCATGGATTCGTTGTCCACACGAAGGAAACACTGAGCAGTTCGTTCTTTGGTAACCTCATTCTGTAAATTCCACACTCCATCCTTGTGCGTAAACTCATCGTATGTTGAGCGGCACTTTGGTAGTATACGACACTCAAAGCCGCTCATGTTGAAGAGAAGGTTAGGATTGTCTTTGCTGTAAACAGACACAAAGCTGTTCTCCCACTGAAATGTGGTGATGGATCTGGGAAGACGATTCTTCATATCCCAGAACACAGCACGTCCCCTGGGAAAAGACAAACATTGTAGATATGAAACACTTTGAAGTGTATACATATAACTAAACTTTGTTTAGAAAGAAAATGGTGGATTTAGAATTTTTTTAAACAGCAGGCTCTAAATTTAGAATAGATAAATGGGGAACATTAAAAGCAGTGGCATAAGGAAGGGGCCGGTGGCCCTATTTAAAGTATTTGTATTCTATTTTTTTTTTATTTTAACACATAGCATGGTATGTAACGGAATTGTTTTAAATGTAGAGGCAAAAGCAGATGGGACATTCCCGACTTCACCCACCGAATGGATCCGTTCCTGATTAAAATTTAAACTCACAAGTTAACATCATGTTTCATGAGACGCATCCTAGCATCTCGTGGCCAGCACTTCTTATTGTTGTATCCCACAATGTTTTCGTTGTTCGGATCAGGATGCTCTGTGAGATAACGCTGGATCAGGTCTCGCGCTTCTTCAGCTGAAAATCTATATATAGGAAAATAAAGGAAATGTCATTTATATCATTAATAATCTTGCTTATTTTTTATACAGCAGGCTCTAAATTTAGAATAGATAAATGGGGAACATTAACAGCAGTGGCATAAGGAAGGGGCCGGTGGCCCTATTTAAAGTATTTGTATTCTATTTTTTTTTTTTTATTTTAACACATAGCATGGTATGTAACGGGATTGTTTTAAATGTAGAGGCAAAAGCAGATGGGACATTCCCGACTTCCCCCACCGAATGGATCCGTTCCTGATTAAAATTTAAACTCACAAGTTAACATCATGTTTCATGAGACGCATGATGAATATAACAACATTTACATACATCTATGGCTGTTCCAAGGAAAACCAACAAAAATAGAATAACAGTTATGTTGTTTTGCCATGGGATGACCACCTACATTTAACATAATCAGCATTTCAGTAAAACTCTGAATATAAGAGATGCTTTACCTGAAAAATATGTGGACTCTGTCAATGTATCTGGAGTACAGTCTGATTGGATGCCCTGTTTCTGTAGCCACATCCTACAAAAACAACCATTCAATTATATTAGATAGCACAAGAATCTACTAGATTGTAAAAATGTGTATAAACAAATAAAGTTTATGGACAGCCAATAATAAAAATACTTTGAATAACTGATGATGACTCTGACTTTTGAACAGAGGCATAAAAAATGGCCACCATGTTAGAAAACCCGTACATTAACAATCATTTTGAAATGAAAATAACTATGAAAAAAAGTACTTAAACCAACATATCATATGAAAGCAATACAGTATTAACATTTGCATTATCTTTGCCACAGCAGTATATAAATATACTATCTAGTTAACCTTACTTGGAATGAAAGGAAATCATTTGGACATTGTGGAGGGCCGGTCATCTCGCTTGCCCGGTGCAAGCCTAGGCAGAGTAGGTCCAATACTAGACCATAAAACTGGACAATAAATGACGCAAACTGAAGTCCACGGATTATTCCATACGAATTGGTGTGGTTCATGTCCTGAAATTTAAATTTATTAAAACCAAAATAAACATTTTTTTTTAAAACAAATATTCTAAAATCCTATTTTATGACTATTCAATCCATAGAACATTAACAAAATTATTATGTGTATATAAGAGAGAGCACTGTGTGTATAATGTCACTGATGTTAAGCAGAAGACAGCAGGAGCTCTTAAAATATTTGTCAAATCAAACACATTTTCCAAGACATCATCATCTTCCATTTGAGACAAGGCACCTCTGTTTTCACCCCCATATCATCTGGTTACATTGCAATATCTTTGCTAAAAGCTAAACAAATAATCATAAAGACAAACAAATGAGCATCTACCTTGTAATTGATGACAACATTGTTCTTTGCTGTCATGTAATCAGCAATGTTGTGGTCCACGATGAGACGCAGAAGTCTGTTCAGTAACGTCAAGTCGATTTTCTCGTACATCTTCTCAAAACGAGACTCCATCATAACATTGCACTCGCCTTCAGATGTCTCCCACACATCTTGCAGGTTGTTGATACCTGCGAGTAACATTAAGAATTATGAATATAGTTTAGTCCCTGCCTTTCCTTGATAATTGTCAAGTGCTTTTACGTAAAACTACCACCTATCTAAAAGACCTCACATAATTATATACATTTTTTCCTTTACCAAAAGTAATGTATAATAAAATGGCACAGACACAGACTATACAGATTGTGATTGTGTTTTTAGCTTAACAGTGGTTGTCCTTTTAATATGTGTTCACCAGAATCATCGGCAGAATTTTCATTATTGTCAACGACGATACAAAAGGATACTGGCTCTACCCTCACCATCATAAATATACCAGTATCATATAGATGATTCTTACCTTGGCACCATTTGTATACAAGTTGTGGTGGTGGTTCTGTGTCTGCTGGTTTGATCCATGGTGGGAATAGCCTTCGTTTGTCAGCCTCATACCACAAGTACTGATCCAGGTACGCATCTGTGATCTTCTCCAGTGGTTCAACGTCGTACACTGGCACAAGGTGACTGTACAAGTCCATGAACTCAATTCCAACCTGTCATTATAGTTAATACCATCATCATTATCTTGTGATTCAAACAAATTAACAATAGGCACTCACTGACTTGTAATAGCAAAAACAGATGATACAGATAAAACCATAACACTAGATCACACACATATATACATTAAACAATGACATTAAAGTAATGCAGAAAACAATTACAAAAATTAAATTAAATAATGAATTAATGTTAAGCACTTTCATCTAAAAAAATGAATGCTACTATATTAACAATGAAAATCTTCCAAAAATCATAGAAATAGTGTTATTACTTGTTTTTTTTTTTTTTAATATATATAAATAGATTTCAATATTAAAATTCAGAAATATGAAGTATTCACACACCTCCTTGAATGCTCTCTGTGTGAGCAGATGACGTTTGATTCTACTGAGGGCTTCATGAGGATTATCGTACGCTTGTTCGATCAGTCCAAGCTCCTCGCGTTGTGATTGATTCAAACGACTTTTCACACTGAAAAAAACCAAGAAAAATCCCATTTATTATTATTAAATGGAACACATAACATGTACAACATGGGTAAAATATTACCCTAGGCACACCATATTTAAGTAAAACAAAAGCGACTCCAAACAAAGAAAGTGTAGCCAGGGCCAAAGTATTACAGTGCATGGTGATAAGTAATTCAATATGGCAGCTCTGTTTATTAAAAAGGATATAATGTAACACAAACCAATAACCCAAATGAGTTTTTTGTTTACTCTATTACCACTGGAAGCCCTAAGGTTTGAGTGGATAATGTGCATTTTATTATAGAATCATGCACCTAAAATTAAGAATGTAAACTGGACGTACCTGTAGGCTTCTTTGAGCCTCTCAAGGGCAAGAATAAGCAGTTTAGTGTCATGCTTGTAGGACAGTGGCGGGAATGGTATTGGGGAGAATCTTCGACTCTCCAACCAATGCACCGTTGTGGTGTAAATGGCTACAGCTTCCTCTGCAGTGATATATGGACCATCCTACAACAAATGAAAAAAAAATATTAGTCATCAAGTTGCCATACATTAGCTGCATAAATGAGTACTTATATCAATGGAGAACTATGAACATGGAGAAACTAAAGCTGTGCACCCACTGCACCCAACATGTGTCAACCGACGCGATTCTATGGCGAGCACAATGGCAGGATGTATGCGCAACAGCTCGTTTCTAATAACGATCAGTTCAGACTGCCACTAACAATTAGCAGACGACATCACATTGTCTAACGCTCACTGGGGGCTGGGTTGGATTCGTCAGCCGAAAGTCATATGACCATCATACTACACGGTGAGCGAACACCAGCACAAAACAGACCGAAATATAAAAACTTATCAAGGAACTCAGCAAAGCGACTGAAGTAGGACTGTCGTTTGATGTAATTCAACGACGCAGCAATGATGATCACATATTGATGAGAAATATGTCCATCACAAGGAACTTATCATTTTGTGTTTGGAGTAACTATATTGCATAAAATGAAAAAAAAACACCTTGTATGATTATGATCTGAACCTAAATCAAGACAAGATTAAACATTATTCATACCTTTAGATAATTGTGTTGCCTCTCCTGCTCTGCCTTTAGGTACAGACGTGTCAGCCGTCCAAGGTTCTTCTTGCAAACCGTCTTGTCAACGGTTGCACCACGTCGAATACGCTCACGGTTGTAATGCGCTGTGTTCGTCCACCAATCAGCTTTCGATTTCACATATCGTAGAATCATATTTTCAATTGGAGAAGGAAGGCCAGGTACCTTTAACAAACAAAATATACAAAGATCTATATTTTCAGATACAGCAGTTAATAAGGTCCAATATCAAAGAAAGTTCTCAGTTGACCATCCATTAAACAGTGACATAACACAAATCAGAAAATATATTGGTAAATCGTTTTGTACACGTAGACAATCCATACTTTTCTAAAATTAAGCAAATTTTGTGCATAAATTACGCTTATTATTTTACATCTTTAAATAATCAATTATAATATTAGTATCTACATAAAGTTTGGTTAGACTGCATATATAATGGATGTTAAAGTTTATGACATTTGAAGTGGAATTGAAAAGTTTGGTGGTTAAGTTACTTATCTTCTAATCCCAGGGAAGAGTAGATTTAAACTGAACCTGGTTACCCAGAAAGAAGATAAAGAATTTTAAAAACATCAGATACCCCCCTTAAGCCCTGTCCAAACTATCAAATTTTTACCAAAAAAAAAATGTTGTATGCCCATATATAGTCATGATGTGCCCATATATAGTCATGATGTGCCCATATATAGTCATGATGTGCCTATAAATATTCATGATGTCACGTCATCATGACCATATTTAGGTATGTCATGTTTTTGTTAAATAAAATTTGATAGCCTGGACAGGACCTTACCTTCCATGGAATGTTTGCTTTCCAGCATCGCCACGCTTCACTGAGATGCTGCAATATGGTCCTGGCTTTGTTCTGCTTAATTCCTTCAGGCATCATATCCACAATATCGTGCATAACCTAGATTCAAAGGATCAAAATCCAATAACTGTTACAACGAAAAAAATGCCTTGTGGTTTAATACTTTTTTGTTTCATTATCTAAATTTATTTCACTAACTCTTCATTCTTCAAACTAGAGCTTGGTTTCCATGCAACCACTACAAGCAATGCTGACAGCTTTTGGTCATGCTGATTGGTCGGTCAAATCAGGGTGCCTTACAGATTGCGTGGAGGACTTCTATGCAGTACAACAATTGCACTAAAAACACTGTAGCGACAGTGTAGTGATTTTAAAGAAACCAGGCTTATGTTAAAATAAATCTGTGTTACACTGACTATCATACAGAGCCTAGTCAAATGAATAGTTTCATATTTTAAGATTTTAAAAATGACCATGTACTCACAGAAGCTCTTAGCTCAAGATCAAAATGGCTTTCTACACGTTGCTTGGTAACAGTCTTGGCCACACCCTTGGAATGTCGGCCCTCAAACTGACGGGATAGTAGATTCCCAAGCCAGCGTTCTAGTAAAGGTGTGATACCACGCATGAAAAACACCCACACACGCCACCCAGCAGTCCAGATGCCAACACCAGGACCCTTGCCGACTGCACCCTGTTAAAAAAAACACGATTATTGATCAGTTAAATTAAAATATTTCGATCAAACATTTTATTTACTGGAATAAAAGCACATAAACAGATACAACTGTATGCTTATAATTCAATAATTACTCTTCAATATTACCACTTCCCATCTCCTTGAAGCTCCTTTTTATCACCTTAAAACCAATGCTTAGACTGAGAACTGCTTTCCATCTCCTTACATCTCCTCTTAAAGAACTTATACTTCGATCATTTCATTCATTAACAAGCATATTTTTCTTCCTTACATCAATTTTCCAAAACAATTTAACTGTTTACCTTTCTATAAGTACCTGCTACTACTTGGGGATTGGATTCAACACTAGTTACTAAGCAGATGCTCAGTGGACTAGTAGTTATGACATCAACACTAGTTACTAAGCACATGCTCGGTGGACTAGTAGTTATGACACCGGGCTAGTTATCTGGAGGTTGTGGTTTCGATTCCCACTCGACTCACAAAGTATCAGGTAAGGCAAAACATCACTCCTATGTATTCTGTAATAACAACCATCCCTTTCCTGCCTTCCAAATATATTCCTCTTTCCTAACAATGATATATCTTTCAAAACACCACAATTTTCATAAATGCTAACATCATTATTTTCTGCTTTTGTTCATCACCTACTTACCGTGTTAAACCTGTAGTAGATAACATGCTTCAGATCTTTACACATACGGATCTGTCTCATCAGTTTGTACTTGTATCGATACATGCCAGTCAGCTGACCGATATGAGCGAAGATGTACTGAATACCATCCGCCAACTGTCAAGGAATAAAAACAATCAGTAAATATTTCAGTTGTATTTTCAAGATGAGTTATGTACATCATTAGTCTAATGATAAAATTAAGTGTGCGATGTAAATATGGTTACTTACTTGAAAAGCATCAACATTTCCAAGTCTGTACTGCACATGGGCATCAATGGTGAGTTTGGTCAAGCGAAGAACTTCACGGCACAAATGGAACGCATTACCGAAACGTGACTTCTTCCTTTCCTAAAAATTAAAATGAAAGTTACAATTATTCGTCTTACCTTACAAAGAATATAGATACGATTAGACATCACTGCTCTGAAATTATTTAGTAATTAGCTGAGGTTTTATGCACTTTGAGGAAAATCTGACTTTTCTGAAAATTGGTTGAGGGTAGCCAAATGACTCTAAGCTGGCTGGTAACACACTTTAGAAATCTTGAAGGCCAGGGAAAAATGTGATAGTTGATGGGTTGTTGTTCAAGTCTCTATAAACTCTAATGGACCAATTTATCAAAAGATTACTGTGAACCTGTTATGAACTTGTGACTAACAACACAAGAGACAAAGGGACAACAATGACATGATTATATAGATTATAGCTTGTGTTTTCTTTTGTATTATTTATATTGTTCTGGTGGAATGTCTCTTGCC